TGATGCCACCAGAGCCTGGTGCCCTGGTGATGCCCTGAACACCAAAGGTTACTGCTGGAGGAGTTTTACAGTGTATGTTAAAATCATAAACTGTCTCAAATTGGATGGGACCCATAAGGATCATCAAGTCCATTACAAGAGCATGAAGTGCCAGGACAAGGAGAAATGGATTCAAACTGGAAGAGAGTAGGTTTAGATTGGATATTGGGAAGGAATTGTTCCCTGTGGGGTGCTGAGGCACAGGTTGGACAGGGCAGCTGGGGCTGCTCCATTCCTGGGAGTGTTCCAGGCCAGGTTGGACAGGGCTTGGAGCAACCTGGGCAGGTGGAAGGTGTCCCTGCCCATGGCAGGAGGTAGAACTGGATGAGCTTTAAGGTCTCTTCCCACCCAAAACATTCTGGGATTCTATGATAAGTCCAAATGTCTCTGCTGCTTATATGGACGTTCTGCATTTGGCCCTATTTAATGTGAAGCTAATCTGTGATTATTCCATTTTCTTTCTTTCTAATTTCCTGGATGCTTCCCCTGTCCCTCACCACAGAAGTGTGTGATCACCTCGATTTCTCTGAGGTGTGAATCCAGGTCAGGCAGAAATGAGGTGAGAGCTCCGTGACACTCCAGGTCATTCCTCTGACTCATCTCTCCAGTTGGTTTTTCCTAGAGATACATCAGAGCCCTTGGAAAGTGGATTTAAGAGGAAGTTGGTAGCACAGAGCTGCTGTGCAGAGCATGAAAACTGTGATCAGAATTGCAGAACATGACTCCAACATGTTCCAGGACTCCACCACGTGCTGGTAGGTCGTGCCACCTCTGGAAGCCTGTTGGACATGTGGCTCCTTCAGGGAGGGCAAACACAGCTGGATCACAGCCAGAATGAATGAAAATTGCTTGGTTTGGTGGGGTTGAGTGCCTGAAGCCCCAGATTCAATAGGATCAGCATGGAATTCTGCAAGAAGGAGAAGAAATGGAGCTCCTGTGACAAGGCTCAGTGTAGGAATGGCTTTGCAGAGCACAGTATTCTGCTGTGAGAAGGCAAATTCCTTCTTGCTGACATGGTGGGGGAACAAATCACTAGTGAAACGGTGGAAAAAGCTAGAAAATGCAGCTCTAATTTAAATATGACTGCCCAGTGCATAATGCATCATTAAACTGGGGAGTGATGCTCTCTCACCCAAAATAGGCATTTGTGTTAGGTGACACAGATTTTGTTTTCCAGCTTCTCTTTAAATTCTGGAGAGCTGGAAGCTTTAGGAAGGAGTCTGTACAGAATTCCTGCTCTGAAGGGCCATTTGAGAGTGGCTGAACACTTTATCCATGGAATTTTGGGAGAAATCTGCATGACACTTACCCAGGTTTGGGTGGGTCACAGGCCTCATTGAGGGAATATCCTTGTAAAATTAGGGATGTATTCATAACAAATGGATTGAGCTGCTGCTGGTGATGGAGTATTTTACCCAGTGAAGCTTGTGGATGGTTTAGATGAGATCACATTTGCTATTGCCTGTGAAGGAGTTAAAGGCAGGATTGAGCAGGAAAAAAAAAATGACATAGAATCTACCTATAAAGAACTCTAAACTTTAATTAGCAAGTTCTATTTAAGTGCTCCATGGAGCCTAGAAGACTTTACCTGGCAAGCCTTGTCTTTAACAAGTTTCCTAAGCAGAATTTAAGCAACACATAATAAATACTGTGTTGGAACATTGATTCAAACGAATAAAAAGGGATCTGGCACTTCTGCCCATTTCCTCACTGCTCACAGCAAGAACCCATTCCACTTGCCTCCCAGTTCCCTCTGTTGATTCACAAAACATGGGAATATGGAGTGTTCTCCACCTATGTATATTTAATTATTGCTTTACAGAAGGTGGAGAGAGCTCATCTTGTTCATGAGTGGTTGTAGAACCAGCACATTTGGGGTCCACTGGCCCTGACTGACAGAATTTTAGGCAACATATCTGATAAAATCTCTTATCTCTGTGTGTTACACATTCACCCACTGATGGTTTGAGCCCTTCCTGCCTCGCTGGGGTTGAGTTTATAGGGAAGGCACCTCGTGAACTCGGCGGAATGTTTGTTTTGAAGCTGTCCCCATCTTTCCTATCAGATCTGGAACGACCTCACTGGGCCTTGAGATGCAGGGCATGAAATGTTGACAAGCATTCCTCAGCTCTCCTATTTATTATCCCCCCCTAAATATTTGGAAGCTGAAGTCGTTAATGTCTGTTGGAATGCGGAACAGCCCAGCCAGTCCTGCAGCAGATCCCAAAAAACATCTTGATTAAATTAGAGGGGAGGTGGAGGGGAGGAGAGCTGGAACAAAGAGGCTGTTGAGAAGCTGGCACAGAGTGCTGGGAATTTATGTTCCAGCCAGGGGTGGCAGCAACCTCCAGCTCTGCACAGGGTGCAGATGCACCCTGTGGTAACAAAGGAGTGTGTGTGCACGTGTGAGTGTGTGTGTGGTTGTGTCTGTGCTCACACACACTTAGGGCAGCTCCTCTGGGCTGAGGGCAAGGGCAGCTGGAGGGAGAAGCATTGAGGATGCAATTGGCACTCCTGTCACCAGCCTCATAGGATTTCCTTGGGTGCTGTGGGTAGTTTTGCTGATTTGCAGAGGGAAGGGAAGTGTTGTTCACTTCACAGGTGAGAAGCTGCAGGTCTCCTGCCCTCTCCATGCCCATGGTGGTTCCCATGCTGTGCCACCTTCCAGGAGCATCAGTGATGCTTATCCAGCTCCATCATCAGGAGGAGAAGTGTTTAGCTCTGGTGGGATGAGGAGACAAGGTTTGGGGGATCTCCCCTGCCCATGCACATACAGTTTATTAGTGGAGATGAGCTAAGATTCTGTTGGACAAGCCCTTTGAGAGGTCAGGTGGACTCTACTTGCAGGTAGGGTATTATTATCTGTGCCAATTGATCAGATTTTCTTCTCTTTATTGCCTGTTCCTGGAAAATTGCTTGCAAACAGATTCATTCTAAAGTGGGTCTGCCTCTGCAAAGCATGATATGGAATTTGATGTTGAGGTACCTGGAGATGTTTGTGACTGTGGTTGGTTTTCCTTAATGTGCATTTCACTTGTAATTCCATGCCACATTCCAGCATGGTCCTGGAATCTCTCATGCCTCTATGGCAGCAGTTGGGATCAGCAGCCTTTACTCTAACTGCACTTTGAACTCCCTGGGAATTCTGGAAGTTCTTTGTGCATCACCTCCACCTCCCTCTACAGCACTTAGCCAACAACCTTTTTCTAGTGTCTAAACCATTTTCTTCTAGCTTCCCCAAGCTTTCCTCCAGTGTATTTTCATTTATCAAGGTCAGCTAGCTCAGCTTTTTTCCTCTGAACCTTTTTTTTTCTCTTTTTTGGTGGAATCAGTGCAGGAACAGCATTACATTAACAGTAATCATTGCACAGCTCTTGTTTTCGTGGCCCCTGTGATCTATCTTACCTTCATCTTAATGGAAGGATTTTTCCAGTCCAGCAATCCAGCAGCTTCTTTCTTGAGAGCTCATTTGGAAGCACAAAGAGGTTTGTGTTTTGACAATTTGGCACTTGTGCATCTTCTTTTCTTCTCCAACCTGAATATACATTAAAATATTCATTTTAATCTCTTTCGCATAATTGATGCTTCAGCAGTTTGTACAGTGAATGAGCAATTTTATGCAAGGAATAAGCAAATGGGCTGAAAAGAGCTGGGTGAAAGGCAGATGATTGGGCTGGTCCAGGCAGTTTCCCCAGCAGAGTGTTGCTGAAAAGCTCCTTCTGTGTGAAAAGTTCAGGCTTTAAACCAGACCCAGCCAGTCACTTCCATTAATCATCTCCATGTGGAGGGAAAGGCAGAAAAAAACCTTTACAACCTATGTCTGTAGTGATGAGCAGCAGCTTCAGCTTTTTTCTGCTTTCAGAGGTGGAAAAACTAGAGATGTGTTTCTGCAAACTCCCTTGGAGGTTGGTGTAAGTGACCAGTTGGGATTGGGTGGAGGTTGGGGATCACCAACTTCTTGCTTTGCTGTAAATCAGAGACTCCACACAAGGCAGGATGTTCTCCTTTGTCAGCATTTGTGTCAGATGCTTTTTTCCAGCAGCACATCTACCCACCTGGGGAGCAGGGCTAGGAATATGGGGTTGGAATGATGGAAAACGGGAAGGATTGGACCATGGATGTTTGTGCATCCCATGGTGCTGCCAACAATGCGATGCCAGGTCTGAATGGATCACAAAACACAGACACAGTCTGAAATATCACCACTTCCAGCTTAAACACACTCTGAGCACTGCTGAACTGCACTGTATTCAGAAAAGGACAATTTAAATTTACGTTGTGGAATCTTTCTCTTTTGGCTTTGGAATTTATCAGTTACATTCATGGGGTTTTGCCTTTTTTTTCTCCTCGTGGTGTAGTGTAATCTTGCCTTCCTAGGCAGAAATGGTGGTTTAAGAGTGGCTTTGTCTGCATTACCTCTTTATCTTTTCCTGTAACTTTGGAGGCATAAATAATCTTGAATTTATCACATTTGCCTGACCCAGTAGATAGAACATACTCCTGACACAGAGCGTGAAGGTTCCATCATGCAAACGCTGCTGGAGGCAGCGACTGAATAAACCCCATAAACTGACCAAAGTTATCCTTGTTATGTCTTGCCTTCCTTATCCTGCCTTTTCCAGCTTCCACACCAACCTATCCTCCATCCCCAGTCTTGCTTGATGCTGCTAAAATGGGCAAATCTGTGTTTTCAGGCTTGAAGGTTGAAAACCTCAAGTTCTCTGGAAATTTCCATCTTCATACTCAAAAGCTTTTCTGACTGTGCCTATGGAACATTTCAGTTTATTAATACTGTTGGTGCAACATGACCCTAAGTGGCTCTGGGCTGGGCAGGGATTAGATTTGCCAGCATAAATAGTTGTGCTTAATTGGGCTGAAATGATTTGGGGATGCTCCGCACTCACTTCCGTCACCTTTTCCCATCTTCCCCAATTAACTTTCATTTCTCTGTTCTGTTGCAGAGCAAGGAAGTGGGACTGCAGCTCCAGGAAGACTTGATGAAGGTCTTGAATGAACTCTACACGGTAAATCCAACTGACTTCTTGGCCTCCTTTCAGGCAGGAGGAAATTTGACTTCTCCCACCAAGATATAAGTGCCTGCAGTTTCTGCAGTTCGAGGCAGTTTGTGTTCACCATCTCTAAAGCACCACAAATCCCTTTTTTTTTTCACTCTAGCCTTATGTGGTTTCAGTTCTGGGTTGGCTCCTCAATGGTCTCACCTTCAGGGATGGTTTTAAGAGTAGGAGAGAAGGGAATGCTCAGGTTTGTGTGGTGTGAACATGCAGAGAGCAGCACGTGGCTTCAGCTACCAGTTTGTTCCTCGACTCCTTCAGCAAACTACTCCCTTGAGAGTAACAGTTTTCCATCAGTGCTTTCTGCTGCTCAGGAAATCCACTGGAGACCCCAAGGAAGAGCCACTGCCTGGGGAGGGAGGAGGAATGAACTCCTAAGAGTTCATGTGCTGCTTGGAGACTTCTTTTGTCACACAGATGAATGGCAAAGCCTCTTGTTTGACTCAGTTTTTGCTTTCTGCAGCTGTTGCTGAGCTACTTCTCTTTTAAAAGCAGAACTTAGACATGGCTTGCACACTCAAAATGTCTTTTAGTTTGTCCTTCCTTCCTGAGACTTTGGGTCATGACACCGAGGTACTTTTTCTAGCAAGAGTTGATCCAGGGATGCTGCTCAAGCCATAGAGTGTTGACCTGGTGATGAAATGGTAGAGTATTCCTGGGGTTTCCGTGAAATATTCATCTGAATAAAATGTGTGGAAGGGAAGTGTTTCATTGCCATTACAGGCAAACATTCAGACTAATCAACACTGCCTGCTCTAGAAATTATTTATTATTTGAGGGCATCATCTGGTGCAGCTTTTGAGTCATGTCCTTGGATTGGATCCTGAGGAAGAGCTCAGATCTCTCTCTAAACACAGACTTTGAGGAACTGGGATTGGTTTCTAATCCAAGTTCACCTGGCACTGCAGGGATGAAGTGGCTGAGTTTGTGTGTTCACACACACATACATCATCCCCTCTCTGTGCCAGGCTCTGACAGGTCATTGAGCCAAATCCTCAGTCCTGATCATTTCTCCATCCCTGGAAGGAGGAATTTCCAGCATTCAGCCTCTGACAAACAAAGTGACTGAGGATTTTTAGTGTCAATGCTGAGAACTCAAAATCTAGTGATTCCTTCCTTCTGCTGCACAATTTTAAACTGTCCCTTCACCAGAAAAAATTCCTTTGCCTTTAGAAAAACCACATCTGGTGATACTAAAGGACATTTCTTGCCGGACTCAAAGCAATTTCACCAGGGATTAAATTTAGTGGTACTTTGAGAAATACTTCCACCTCTGTGTCTCTTGTGTTTGACTGGACGTGGCACTCAGTGCTCTGCTCTGGTGCCAAGGTGGTGATAGGTCACAGCTTGGACTTGATGATCCTTTTCCAGCCTCAGTGATTTTGTACCCAATGGATGAGCAGAATCCTTGATTTTGGCCAAACGATGTGGGTGCAAGTCTTTACTTTGTCCACACAACTAAAACACAGGGGGTTGTTACACCCTGTAATTTTTTGTCTTGAATTGTCCTGTGCCAGTGTTGCCCTCAGCAGCCTCCAGTGAGCCCCCAGTGTCCCCAGACTGGGGCAGGCAGAGCCTGTGGCTGATAAACCCATTACAGCTGTGATTTCTCTTTCTGCTTCTCTTGCTTTCTGCCAGTTCCACTTTGAGGGATAGAGGAAAAGAAACTACTTTGCATCTATTATTATAAACCCCTGCTTGACAGTCTTGAGCATATGCAGGAGCTGGAAGTGCCTGTGTGTAAATTATTCAGCACTGGCTGCATTCACATTCCCTTTCATGTTTAAATCCAAGGTCTCTTTATATCTGAGGAGCTTTGCTGATCACTGCAGGGAGAGAGCATGAGTCCTACTTACGTAGAATGGTGTTGTGTTGTGGTGCAGAGTAGGTGAAATAAGGTATAAACTGTTTTTCAGCTGAAATAAATCCAATGACCTGCAAGTGATGTCTTCACTGCTGGAATGACACTCTTGGGGTGACTATGCAATTGCATTTTCTTGCCCCTATCAGAATGATACCAGAAGAGTTTGGTTTAGTGTGGCTTCAATTGCTTTACATTTGTGGAGAAAACACCTGGTTTATATATCATGTCCTTTGGATTTTTTGATTCTGGTTTCTTAACACAAAGCTAGACATGAACATCCTGTGAAGCAAATGTGGGTTTGCAACTTTGGGGGGATAATTACCTATATTTATTTATAAAAAACAGGCTGTAATAGAACTTGTCCATTTAGTGTAGTGTCTAGGTCGTCCCTAAAGAAAAGAACCACATTCTTTTATGAGTATTTTTTATTACATAAGGTGAGCACAAGGACTTTGATGTCCCAAATTTGCTTTAAACAAGTGGAACCTGAGTTGCCTTTGCAGTCATTGTGTTGAGACACGATTTACATACAGTTCCTGGAGACTTGGGATGTTTAAAGGGCTGATTCATCCAGATGAAAGACTGATAGGCATCCCTTCTGAAACCTTACCTGCTGATGAAAAGCTCTCGTTCCCAACACTGGCATATCATTTTCTTTGAGTAGCAAAGGAGGTTGGATTTAGTCAGGATCTTTTTTTGGGTTTCCTGCCTCCTTTATTGGATTGTACAAGAAGGCACATGCCAAAGTTAAACAAAGCAGCAGCTGCAAAATAATCCACTTTGATTTCAGATTCATTTTGAGAGCTACACTCGTTCCTGCCTCTTCTGTCCTGCTTTTGTGAGCTGGGAAATTTCCCTGAGTGTTTTTCCAGTTGAGATGTTTCAGACTAACCACCAGCTCTGCCTTGTTGGGCTCTGACTGCATCTCTGTCGTTTCCTGCAGGTTATGAAAACCTACCACATGTACAATGCTGACAGCATTAGTGCTCAGAGCAAGCTGAAGGAGGCAGAGAAGCAGGAGGAGAAGCAGATTGGGAAGTCAGTGAAGCAGGAAGACAAGCAAACTCCACGTTCCCCTGACTCAACATCCAATGTCAAGTTTGAAGAGAAACACGTTCGGCGAAGCTCTGTCAAAAAGATAGAGAAGATGAAGGAGAAGGTACTTGCAGACTCATCAGGTTCAAGCAAATAGAAGGGGAGGAGTTATTTTTGAATGGATTTAGGCTCTGGAAGGACCAAGTCCACTCTGGTGGTGCTGGAGCTGGGCCTTAACCTCATAAACTCACCTTGTTCCTTCATTCTTCCCTCACTCACCCACAGTCTTAAGGGAATACTTCGAATCCAAAGCTGTCTAGTATAGAAATGCTTAAAAACATCTAAATAATTAATCTACATTTTAAGCCATGATAAAAGTGGAATCCAAATGAACAAACCCTGTGTGAGCAGATTGGTTCAGTGCTCTCTGGTGTTACTGAGGGTGCTGCTGTGCCTCCTGCACCTCTTTTTAAACTGTGTTCTCTTTGTGGTTCTCTTTCAGCGCCAAGCAAAGTACACAGAAAACAGACTGAAGGCAATCAAGGCAAGAAATGAGTATCTGCTGGCCCTGGAAGCCACCAATGCTTCAGTGTTCAAGTATTACATCCATGACCTGTCTGATCTCATTGATGTAAGTGCTAATTTCATTGATGTAAGTGTAATGGAGGCCAAAAGTATTTCCTAAAGCTGCTTTGAACTTGCTTGGAAAAATACATAGAATCACAGAATTATCCTGAGCTGGAAGGGCCCACAGGGATCATCAGTCCAACTGCTGTCCCTGCACAGGACAGCCCAAAATCCCACCCTGTGCCTGAGGGTCTTATCCAAACACTCCTGGAGCTCTGCCAGGCTCTGAGCACTGCCCTGGAGAGCTGTTCAGTGCCCAAACACCTCTGGGGGAAGAACCTTCTCCTGCTATCCAACCTAAACCTCCCCTCACACAGCTCCAGCTGCTCCCTCAGGTCCTGTCACTGCTCACCAAGGAGAGCATATTTGAAGCCCCTCAGCATTCAGAGGAAATCAGTTCCACCCCAAATCTCTGCTCTGTGACCACTCAGACAAGGCAGTTAGGAAAGCTGAGGTTGCTCACAGGGAGGTAACTCCCCCTCAGCCTGCAGAGCTCGAGTGCCACACGCACTGCACACGTTGTGTCTGGGTCAGTGACTGTTGCTGGATCCCATTCCATTTGCCAAGACCTTCCCAGTGCTGTCACTGCTGGAAACACTCAGCTGCAGAGCCTGGAGGGAGCTGCTCTGTCGGAGCAGGGAGTAATGAACACAAGTGTCTCTAGACACAGGCAGTAAAGAGCACTCAGCTCACTATTAATTACTCAGCTCTTACAATAACTAGCAGCCTATAGAACACATTTGCTCAGCTGATGAGGAACTCTCCTGGAGTGCTCTCCTGCCAGGTGTTGATTTAAACCTGTCCCGTGGAGGTCAGGCCTGGCAGGGGGAGATGAGCCTGAAAAATACTGTTATTTCCCAGTGTCATGTTCTGCAGGATTGCTGCAACTGGGTTGTTTATCCCTGCTGCCTTTTTAGGAGACCTGTTTGGGTTAAGATCTGCTCAACCTTAATTGTGTGGTCTTGGTTCTTTAACAAATGATACTTATTGTATATATATTTATATTGCAGCGTTGATTGGGATTAATTTCACTGACATCAGCCTAACTCAGTTGTCTTAGTTTTTTCTCCTAAGTCCTCCCCCAAATCCTGCACATGTGCTTGGCTGAGCTGTGTGTGTGCTAGGAGTGCATTGGGATCAGTCAGAGTGAAGAATCCAGTTGGATTTCATAAGCCCATAACAATTTTTAAGCACAGCCATGAGCTGTTTTAAGCAGTACATGACAAATGTAGGTGATCCAGGAAGTGTTGCTCTCCCTGGACAGTCCCAGCTATCTCTGGGCATGGTAAGCAGTGGTGCAAGACAAGGAGCCAAACTACATCAGTCCAGGGATTTGTCACTGTTCTTATAGAGGAGCCAGTGTGGCTCTGGCTGAGCCCATGCTAACCCCCCTGAAGCACTCAATTTAACACCACATTACAAATCCTCATCAGTTTGAAACTCAAAGTATTATCTGCCCTGTTTTCAGGAGGCATGGAAAAACGTGGGATTGTCTGGGAGCACAGGAGATGGAGTTGAGTTATCTCATTGTTCAGACACAGGGAATACAGATATATTAATGCCTTTGATCCTGAAGGCTCAAAAATTAGCAGTTAGAACCAGTGATGGTTATCTGAACCGTCTGACTTAAATAAAAATGGGATTTTTTTCAGCCAGGCTGTAACACTTTGACTCCATTTAATCCTTGGGTGATAGTGAATTCTGAAATAGAATGTAAAAGTCATCTTCAAAGTTATTCACAAGTAGATTGTGTTAGGCCAAACAGCATTAAACTCGTCACGTTTACACTGCTCATGGTGTTCCCTCTCCAGTGTGTGTGGAAGGATAACAGGGAGTTAATTCTTCACTGAGAGCTCAGAGCAATAAATTGCTCCTGACATAGCCCAGTAGTTTTGAGTTTCCTGACTTTGGGGACTGAGGCAGCTCTTTGATGCTAATGAAATATTACAGTAATGGGGAAGTTTGCATTAACTCATATTTATAAAAGGGTCACTGGGACAGGATTGAAAAACCCAGATAAAAACGTGTGTGTGTGAGTCCCAGAGCTTACTGTGCTCTTCTAGGAATAGGTATTCCAGTGCTGTTTCCTCCAGGATCTCCTCCTTTCCCTTCCAAATGGAAATTGCCTTTTAAAGCAAAGGCCTTTTTTTCTCTTGAAATCTTCTATTTTGGGGCTGTTGGAAAGCTGCTACGAGGCAAAGGGTTAATCAGCTGTCACGTTGGGAAGTGAATCTGAATGAGTGATCATTAAATTCTTATAAAAAATTGATTTCCTTTGAGAACGATTCCATCAAACATTTATATAACCCAGAAAAAGGGATGGCAGGGAGGGACATTACAGACATGGAACTCTGGACTTTGAAACTTGAAGGTTTCTTCAAGTGGGGGTGTGAGCTGGGAAGTGGTTTCTGGCTTTGGTACAAAGCCAGACCACTTTGTCTCAGTGGGATGTGACAGATCAACTCCCTCTTGGCTTCCCAGTCCCCTCAGCGTGATCCTCTTGTGCAGCAGCTCCTCTTCCTTCTGGGAATGGATGAGACTGGAGATGAGGAGAACAGAGAGGACCAACTGGTCACACTGGGAGGCTGCACGACCTCCTGGCCCACAGCTGGGATGGTGTTTCATCACCAGATCAAGACAAGAGGAGGAAATAACTGGAGAGGGTCCAAAGATGCTGAGGGGTCTGGAACAGCTTTCTGATGAGAAGAGACTGTGGGAGCTGAGCCTGGTTAGTCTGGAGAGGAGAAGAGTGAGGGAGAATCTCATTCATCCATCCAAATATCTCCAGGGGGTGTCAGAGTGTGGTCACAGGCTCTTCTCAGTGGTTCCCAGTGACAGGACAAGGAGCAATGGCCATAAACTAAACCACTTCCACCTCAACGTGAGGAAGAACTTCCCATGGAGGTGGCAGAGCATTGGAACATCTGCCCAGGGAGGGTGTGGAGTCTCCCTCTCTGGAGACATTCCAGACCCACCTGGACACGTTCCCGTGTCACCTTCTCTAGGTGACCCTGCCTGGGTTTGGGCTGGATGATCTCCAGAGGTTCCTCCCAACCTAAACCATTTTGTTGAAAGGAGCTGCTAAATCTGAGCTGGTCCTAATCCAGGCTGGAGCTCTGGCCCAGCTCTGCCTTTCCCCACGTGGCTGCACTGAGCTCTGAGTGGCTCTCCATCCAAGGCTGCCTCCACACGTGCAGATTCTCAATCAGGCTTCTTTTGTTTTAATTTTTTTTTCCCCTTGGCTGGTTTTGTTCTTTCTGATTGAATGCAAAGTCCTTTAATTCTCTGCCTCCAGCCCAACCAGCAACTGCAGCTCTTTTTACAAGGCTCCACACCTGCCACAGCTTGTTGGCAGAGGAGCCAAGCAACCAGCAGCAGAATCCCTGTGACAGCAGGGAATGGTCCAGTAGTCTCTCTCTTCCCTCTCCCCCCAACCCCTCCTTCTTTTTTCCCCTTTTATCTCTTTTTTTTATCTGTGTGTTTGCACACAATGACAGTGATGAGACCCAAATGATGGGTGAGGAGGAGATTTCATGTGCATTTTGCTTACAGAGCAGCTCAGCAATCAAGCAGATGGTCTCTTTCTTTTCTTTCTGGATATTCTCCTAGTGTATGTAATCTTGCTTGTAATTCCAAGAAGGTGGGCTCCTTCTTGCTCTCTTGATTCCATGGCTGAAAAATCCAGGCTGTTTCTGATCAGCTAATGAAAAGAGCCTTTTTCCCCTCTGAAACATGAAGACTTGGCTCTGCAGCCATGGTGGAGATGAAGCTGCTTGATTGTCTCCCAGTGACATCATCTTGGTGTCAGCCATAGCCAGGAAATTCTTGACCGTGACCACTTTCTGCCTCAAAGTTTTTTTGCTCCTCTGTTTCACCCCAGCAGTGAAATCATCCCAACCCATGGCTGCTTGGTTTTTGGATGACTCTGTTTTCATGCCTGGGATGTCCCTGGACATAGGTCATGTTCCTCCTTCCTGAAGTACTCTAAATTAAGCAGTTTTCTGTATTTTGGGTGGAATTATTGAGATGTTTGTAGATGATCCAAATCCTCTGTCTTCTGTCTCCAGCAGTACCTTAGTGCCTTGATTTCCTCTTCCTCTGAGTGATGTTATGTAAGGATTTTGGAAGTGTCTTCATTTTGTTCAGAGCCCCTAAAAGTAAGGGTAGAATGT